AATCTTGCACATCCGTGAAAGACCCCAGGCGAACTGATATTGCCCATCGCAACAATTTAGAGAGTGTTGGCAAAACTCACAAATTAAAAATGTCACTCAGATATGGCTTTCACAGTCAATGGGATAATCAAAACATGCAAGTGGGGGAATATCACAAGATGTTCTTCTTCTCTCTCTTGATTGAACCACTTCAAACGGAATTCAAACATGATTCCTCCAGCCAAGAAAATAATCCTGATCTTTTACATGAACCACAGGATCATCTCTACACAAATCAGGCAAGACTTTGTGATCAAAGTGCAGAATGCACAGAATCAGCTGTCATGCTCTGTGGAAAGGAGACTCATGGGTAACAAGGCCAACTGGGTATTTGTTCCATTCTGTGACATTCTGGTTTATAAAATATTAAAGTCAACCTAAAATCAGAATGGATCCTATTCACTTTTTTTAACATTACAGCACATTATTTCAATGAAAAGAAAAAGAAAGAAATTACTGTTCTTTTTGACTGACATTACACATTTGTCTACTAAAAAAAAAGAACATTGAATCAGTTCTTGATCAGCAATTCACCAACTGATTGATGCGTTGAAAACTGCCATTTGTATTTGCATCAATCATTAAGTGAATTTCATGAAAATAAAAATGCATTGGCATGTATATTGTACATATTTTATATATAAATTTAACTGATAAACCACCTTTCATATTGTACATGCAATAGCTGAAAGTGCTTTACAAAAATCATTTTTGGCATTCAGCCATTTTTCTACCCTCGGATTAACTCGACTGATTGCGACACGCACTCACAAACCACTTTCCTGGGTATTTCACCTTGAACCAGCCCTCTTAGCAAAATTGATGTTTGTGGTGGGTTCAAATAATTAAGGTATAGATCAGAGCTCCTCCGTGAAGTGCTCCTTAAATCGGGCTAAACCATGATGAATGCCTATATCTGAAGCGCTAAAAAGTTTTCCATTCCGTAAATAGAAAAAGTACTACTAAAAAGGTATCACAGGAGGAAATTATGATTTACGAATCAATGATGGTTCACCAAACACTGGAGGTTAGAAGGAATTATCCGTATGGCAGCTGTTTTACTCTAAATGGAGAGCTGTAAGTCATGTAATCACTATCAAAGGCACAGTCCGTTCCATTACTCTTCTCTTCCAACTTTTTTGCTTTGTTGAATGAATTTTAGCCACAAAGAAGATTTAGATGTGTTTTTATATGCACAAGGGGAATTACAGCACAGGCATGGAGTATCACAGCCCAGCATGTGTTAGTGAAATCCACCGTACTTTACAGCAGCATGTAGGAATTTTCGGTGTTCCTTGAAGAGAACCATCACGTTAAAGTGGAAGAGCCCTATAAACGAAGTAAAAGGGACAGTTCACCCAAAATCGTTTACTCACCCTCATGTCATTCCAAACCTCCATGACTTGCATGTGGAACACAAATAAAGTAAGCCATACATGTTCGGAAAGGCACAAGGATAAGTAAATCATGACAGGATCTTCATTTTTTGGTTGAACAGTCCTTTTAAAAAAGACTTGCGAGTTCATAAAGCGTCAATCTATTGATTGATCTGGCCTAGTGCTGAGCCATTTCAGACATTATCAATAGATCAGCACACCCGATGGATTACTCAGGCTGCATTACAACCAACAGGATGCAAATTGCCCTGTTAATAGATTAGTCTGGCGGGTTACAACTTGGCAAAAAGGGGGCGTGAATCTCAAAGCAGATAACATTATAAATTACGACACGTCTGCCCATGCTTTTCAATGGAAGAGCCTTGGGCATTGAAGCACAGCAAGCAGAACTGCATCCACATAATCCATTACGCTTCATTATTTTACTCAACATTATCAATAGATCAGCACACCCGATGGATTACTCAGGCTGCATTACAACCAACAGGATGCAAATTGCCCTGTTAATAGATTAGTCTGGCGGGTTACAACTTGGCAAAAAAGGGGGCGTGAATCTCAAAGCAGATAACATTATAAATTACGACACGTCTGCCCATGCTTTTCAATGGAAGAGCCTTGGGCATCGAAGCACAGCAAGCAGAACTGCATCCACATAATCCATTACGCTTCATTATTTTACTCGACTTTGAAGCAGCGTTAAGCATTCAGCTGTACGTGTAGCTGCACGTGTTTGCAAACGCAGACGGAGGGCAGCCCTGCCAGCTCTGACATGTACATGTGCACGTAGAGTTGATTTATGCTGAGTGATTGCTTTGTTTCAGAAGGAGAAACAATAACCAGATGTCTTCTAAGACCCCCATTCCAGCTGTTAATTGCATGGCAAGTGTCTAGTAAACACTGCACAGAGGTGAACAAAGAGGGATGTGTTCAGTACGCCAGGGTTGTGTATATCATTTAGATTTGCAAGGTGTCTTGCCAACAGGGCATGCTTGGGTTTGTTTGCTCAAGGATCTTGTCTGAACGGATCTTTGCAACTTTTTGTATTCTCCCATTTATTGCCCTGGGATTTTATTCTGTACGACTTTGAAGTCTTAAAATTATAGCCTGGGAAGAAATGAATAGTTCTATGCATGTCATTAATGTCAAGAAGGTTCAATATTTTGCTCTGTTCGGTTAACAGTCATTGCTAATGGTGGGAAACGCAAGTCAAAGAATTCTTTCGGAAGTCATCCCTTACCCACAGGAACAAATGCTCAAATTTGCTGACTCTTTTAAAACTGTGTGCAACCATCGACAATTTCGCTTGGGCAGAATTCCACATCTAGATCCTGCAACATCTTCCCATGCAACTTTAGATCACATGACAAAAGTCTACAGGAACTGAATCTGAAAGCAGCCTTAGAGACGCACAGACATTTGGCCACCGTGTGGTTCTGTTTCTGGAGTCACGCCAAATGCAACATGTTCAAGCTAGGATATTTGCAACTGTACAAGGTGCCATATATTACACAAAGCTTAGCGATAAAATCATCTCCTTATGGTAAGGGCAAGGAATTCAGTGAGCCTTGCACAGCTTTTTAACAAAGCATTATATCACTACAAAGAGCAGCAGTACACTGAGAAGCAACATGTCATTGCTTATGAATGTTTTAATCAAGTCTCAGGCTTGTCTTCATCAATTAAGAGTGAAAAAGGGAGATGATACAGGGAAGATTCACCCAGTGAAAGAAGGTTCAAGGGTTATAACATAAGCCTTTCACACAGCTGACCCCAAACAGCTGTTTTGACTGGCTTGGCTTCTTCTATAGAGCCTCTGGGGGCAGGCCAAAGATGTGCTTTAAGACCAGCCAATACATCAGACGGTTTGTTTACAACATCAGAGGTCAGCAGTGAAGTATTGATTGGAAAATATACTCTCAAGAGCAGTTTATTAAAAGACACCTAATGCTGGTCAGGGACTCTGGGGAACGCACATGAATTGAATAATCTTGCAGATAAAGGAACAGGATGATTTTAAAAAGGGAACTGCGTGTTTCAATCAGGATTTTGTGTCACTCCATGTGATGCATTTGTTTCACAGGAAAGAAAATTCAGGTAGAGGGGATGAATGAGGGAGGGCAGCTTCTCTGATCTTCATAGAGGAGTCACACATATATCAATCACAGACACATATATCAATCACAGACAAAGCAAGTGCTTTAATCTGACATTCAAGTGAAAGCTCACTAATTGCAACCAATTCTTGACTAGAACAATAGCTACAGTAACAATATAAAGCACTATTTGGTTATTACACAAAAATAAAAAATAAATAATGTTAATAACTAGAATGTTGAGTCATTGAGTCAAAAAATGAGTCAAATGCAGCTATATGCATCCCAAATGTTAAAATATGTTTTTTTGTTTGCAACTTGACAATGATTTCTGTAATTTCTATTCAATTTTTAACTTGAGTTAAAAAAAGTTAAATTGGTCGCTTTGTTTCAGTGTTAGACCAATGACGACAAATAAAGGTGACTTAAATATAATAACACCCCCAAATATTAATAATATCCAAACAAAGCTGATTTACTACCTATATAAGAAATAATAATAAAACATTATGCCAAAGTTTATTTTTATAGTTTACAGACACCAAGAGGTGCATTCAAGTCATTTTTTTTTTATATGAACTGCATTTCTTGAAGTATTTTTTAATGTCTTACTACCTATATAAGAAATAATAATAAAACATTATGCCAAAGTTTATTTTTATAGTTTACAGACACCAAGAGGTGCATTCAAGTCATTTTTTTTATATGAACTGCATTTCTTGAAGTATTTTTTAATGTCTTGAAAAAAGAACAATTCTAGACAATAAATAAATAACCATCACATCAGTGCTGACCCATGATATATATTTTCATTTGTTCAGGTATTTATTTATGCATTTATTTATTCTCAAATAGTAAACACCTGACACAAAATGTTTAATATAATAATAAAAGCAGCAGGTATTTCGTTATCAATTTGTAACGTGAATGATTCATCTCTACGGGTGACATGATCCGTCTCCATCCACTCATTTGACATCTGGCGTCAAATGATCCAGACAAAGACAGACAGACAGACAGACAGATGGTTGACAGATAGATAGATAGATAGATAGATAGATAGATAGATAGATAGATAGATAGATAGATAGATAGATAGATAGATAGATCATCACTTTTATATGTAAACATGGATATCATTTATTTATTGAAAACTATTTTACTCATCTTTCTCTTCCCTTATAGGATATCACCTGAGCTCTCCAATAACTCACAACTAACAAGCAGCACACATATTCTAGCGCAGCATCACTATCGCCATCTGCCTGCATCTTATGCTTTCACGCGTTCACTTCGAGTTCATTTATCTTAATTATGGCAACGCTGTATCATCAGAGGGTTTAGTTTAACTTTACACAGTTATGAACCATGCATAGATCTGTTGAGTCTTTTAGAGCCGCCTGATCTGACGAATGAGAAGAAGCGCATATTTGACTAAAGGAACATCCTTCAATTGAACTCATGGACTTACCTGGAGCGTTTAACGCGACCAGCAGGACTATCCAAAAAGTCGCCAACATCACCATCGCGCTTCACGCCTTGCGCCAAATATCCGATCTGATATCGCGATCTGCAAAGAGCGATCCGGCGATTCATGCAACTTCAACGCAATCCACCTCTGCCCACCCTTCACTATACGACAGAGAGTCAGCGGTTACTAAAACGGCACTCAGTGCAACGTCTGCAGAAGAGTTTAGTACAGCCAGGAATCGGGATCAAATCCAAAGCCCGAATAAGATGCTCATCGACTCTCTGGTTCTGCAGATGAAAAGTCCGCGGACAAGAAGCAGATAAGTTCAGGGATCCCGCATCCCAAGCGTTGAATCCAGTGCGGCTGTTCAACCCCCTCAAAACAAAAGCTTAATAACAGTGCCCTGAATAACGGGGCGTTTAATGCATCCGATCCGTTTGCTCCACAATACAAGTAGCCTATGTATAATTCGATTCTCTGTACTTTTTTTGCGCAGTAGTAACCAGAATATGCCCTAGAAGTCCCAACGGTCCCGGTCTGTTCCCTCAATTTTGGGAGTCTGGGGATTATCAGATTATATTTGTTGGGTGCTGAAGATGTTTCAGCGGACGTGAAATCCCTTCCGAGTAATTTTTCCCCCCCGAGAAAATGGACTGATTCTCCAGAATATGGCAATAATGCCGTGGTTTGGCGCACTTCGGGCACTGCTGCCACAACCTGAACTGTTCTAGTGTAGCTGATACAAGCGCGAGGAGAGATCCTAATCAGGGTGACGTTAGAAAAGGGCGGGGCTTCCACGATCTTGAAACGCGAGTAGGAGGATTTAGTCCATTGTTGCCATGTCCGCTTATAATAAACGGCTCTGTGCTTGTTTTAGCTTGTAAGTATGGTAAACCGCAGTTTTTGTGGATTATTTCCAGAACACACGTTCCTGAGGTTTGCTGGTACACTAATAGCAGCTGTCACACACACACATTTTAAGGGTGTTCACACTGACAGTGATTTGCAGAGAGACCACACAACTTGCTGGACATCATTCATATTCAGTAAGAGTTGGCGATTTCCAATGATGCGACTGACAGGGACCATAGCGCACAAGCACAACTGTATGTAAATAGCAACAACAAGATACTAATACCAGTAAGAGTGGCCCAATGTCTGATACAGGATTGCATGGCAGAGCAGAAAGGCCTAGTAGAAACTCTCTCTTTTACAAATGTAATAATAAGTTTATGTAAAACAATAAGTAAAAAATAAATAAATAAAGCAATTATCGTTGATCCATAATATATATATATATATATATATATAGGGTGATTGAGGAGGTGGAAGTAGTAAAACACTTCCCTCTGCTGGTCACCCTCTCACGAGTTCCTCTGGGTAACCCAGACTGGGCATTAGACCGCAGAGTGGGAGTTTACCGTTACCGAACCTTTACAGAACTACAGCATCAGCTTACCTCACGTGAGGGCAAGACACTTCTCATTGAAATCTATCATTGTTGCCAGATCTCGCAAGAAAATAAACAACCTGGTCTGAAAGAGGACCAGTCAGTGTGACAGAATATGGGGTTATTGAGGAGGTGGAAGTAGTAAAACACTTCCCTCTGCTGGTCACCCTCTCACGAGTTCCTCTGGGTAACCCAGACTGGGCATTAGACCGCAGAGTGGGAGTTTACCGTTACCGAACCTTTACTGAACTACAGCATCAGCTTACCTCACGTGAGGGCAAGACACTTCTCGTTGAAATCTATCATTGTTGCCAGATCTCGCAAGAAAATAAACAACCTGGTCTGAAAGAGGACCACAATAAGCAAGTAGCACAAACTGATAACAAAAAAAAAATTATATAAATA